CCCCCCTCCCGCCCGCGTCCACCGCCCACCGGCTAGACGCACACAGCGCACATCTCGCGGCGACGCTCGCCCCTTGCTCCACTGCCTCGCTTTCCCCTGGGCCCCCACCTTCCGCTGTCACCCAACCTCTCTGAACCTTGCTTTCTTCATCAAAAGGAGGATATTATGGAAGTCTAAATGGGAGCAGACTGTAAAGTGCTGGCTGGATGGGCGCAGCCCTATTATTCTCTCATCTCTCATCCCTTCTTTGCTGACCTGCGCCCCTCTCCCCTCCCCCACCTTTGCTCTCACCAGTCCGCTCCCCATCACGCTTCTCATATGTATCCCATGCACACTCAGGGCACAGTGCCCATCCCCGCCCTCTTTCTATCATCAGCCCACGCCTCCTCCGTTTGTATATCCTCCATCACCTGCTTCATCTGTCTACTCCTCTGCTCCGCGCCCTTCGCTTCTTTCTCTCCGCATTGCCATCCGCAGCCTTCCAGGATTGACCCATGCATATCTAAGTATTATCCTGCCCACCCTAACCCCCATCCATCCCTCTGTTGAGTCCGTCTTTCCCACCGCACTTCTTTTTGTGACCGTTACTGTGAAGCACCCCCTGGACTGGGAACGCCCCTGTCCCTGTAAATGTAGCCCCCACCCCTGTTTCTACTTCTGTACCCCGGATCACATCTGTTCTTGACCACAGGCTAAATGTCAACTGCCCAAACCCAGAGAACAGACCGAGAGAGTTCTGTAGGGGGAGTGGAAGAGGACTATCCTCCAGGCTAATGGCTCAGAGACAGCAGTACCAGGCAAGGACAGGAAACGGTTTTTTGTTTGCACAGGACAAAAGGGAGATTAGAAACGCCTCCTAAACCTTCAAATCAATATCTCACCATCTTTAGTTCAAAAATTTGAAAGGAGTCTCTAAGCCGTGCAGAGCATCTTCCTACAGACACCTCCACAGGGATGGAGCCCCTATACTATCTCCACTGGACATAACAGCCACACCCACTCCATCTCTCTAGCCAACTTTTCCAAAACTCTGATCAGCGGGAGAGCTTTCCGAATTTGAGTAATACCATGGCTCTATTTATTTTGTTTAACTTTATTTTCAGTGAAAAATTCCAAACAGCCTGTAACGTCCAAATCACCGGAGGTTAAACAGATGATGGTCTGTCAATATGTTTAATAGTCACTATGTGACTATTAAAAGTCACCTTTTGAAGTCTAAAACTGTCAAGAAAAAATAAAGCTAAGAATATGCTAAATGGGGGTGTTGAGCAAGAAATAAAGCAAAACCTATGTCAATGTTTGCAGTAATTTTTGTTCTGGATGATGGAATTATAGGTTTTTTTTCATATTGATGCTTTTCTGCATTTCTCCTTTTCCCACAATGATCATGTACAGCTTTTTTATTAGTATGAAAGAAATTCAATAACATTAAAGAACTTTTGGACTAAAGTAAAAAAAGAAATCCAGAGTTACTTGTGGATTAATCAAACTGGCTTCTAGAAATCAGGTGTCCAGATGATCCAGGACTAGTTGGCTATCTCCTCTGGAACCTACACCAAGAGATGCAGTCAGCATCTTACAGTAAATGTTTATGGAAACTAAAAAAATTTACCTCCTTTCTTTTTTCTTTTCTCCTTTAAGATATCAGACAAATCAATCATAATTTCTATACATGTCTGTAAAAAAGTTTTGTTATTTTTTTTTTTTTTTTTGCCAATTTATTTTCTCTTTTTTCAACAAAATCAAATGTCTATCTGGCTCACCATAAGTAAGTAAGTAAGTAAGTAAGTAAATAAATAAATAAATAGGGAAAAAAAATCACCTACTGGCATGATAAAACCACTACTGTTTTGACCCCTTTTCCTATCTAGATGTTTTCACACAGTTCCTGTAATGTTGTATCCTGCTTTTTTAGGTACCTGTAATGTAATGTACTGCCTTTTTTACTCTGCATAATGTATTGATAGTCCTCAAAAGCATAAATTTTTATGGCTGCATGATAGCCCATTAAATAGCTAGATCATAATCTATTTAACCTAGCCCTTATTATTGGATACTTAAAATTGGATCCTTATGAAATTGTGTTTATTTTTTTGTCATTATAAATTAACTCAACAAATATTTACTGAGCACCTGTGTTCTACTACTATGTGCCAGACACCATTCTAGGCGCTGGGGACACAGCTCCCAGATAAATAGTAGTGCTACAAGTTTTCATGCACATAGTTTTTTCCATGGTTTAGCTTCCTTCCTTACGATAGAGTCTGAATTGTTGAATGACTGAGTCAAAAAAGTTGTGGAAAATGAACAGTTCTTTCTCATTAATGAAATTCGACATTCACCGACGAAATAGTAATGATATTTGAAGTTTTGGAGGTTGATTACATCAGACTATATCACTTACTATTCCTTTATGCTTTGAAGATTTTAGCACTTTGCTTATTGTCACTCTCTTCATTCCACTTCTGTCAAATTCTTGGATATTCTTGATGATTCAGTACCACATAGACAATTCTTTTAATATATGTGATTGTTTGTTTTCAAAGATGGCACTACACTTCCTCCTGTCCCATATGACTCTTTGCAATGATTTTGCTGCTCCTCCCAGCAACAGGTGGAGTCTGTTTCTTAACCCTTTAAATCCGGGCTGGCTTTATGACTTGCTTTGACTAAAAGCATGTGGCAGAAGTGATATTGTGTGAGTCCCCAGAGTCTGGGCCTCAAGACCTTGCAGCTTGGCCCTTTGCCCTCTTAGAACATGTCCAACATTATGTAAAGAAGTCCAGTCTAGCCTACTGGAAGATGAGAGGCTCCACAGAGGAGCACTGAAGTGCCTTGGCTGCCAACCACCAGACATGTGATTCAGTCAAGCTTCCAGATGACTGCAGCCATATGTCAAGCTTCCAGATGACTGCAGCCATATGAGTGTGCTTAGGCAAGACTAACAGAACTGCTCAGCAGAGCCCAGCCTGTATTACCAAACTCTGAGCAGGTAAATGATGGTTGTTTAAGCCATTAAGTTTTGGAGTGGTTTATTAATATGACAATAGATGACTTATAAAACCAACTTCCCATTTCCTTGATTTCTTTTTCTCCACCAGCGAGAAGGATGGTCTCAGCCAAACCTTATTATTCACACTTCATAATTTCGATTTTGTGTCACATTTTCCTATTATCAGCATGTATCTCTTCAGCCCATGCCCTCTAGTACCTGGACTCAAATAATTCTGGATCCTTAGGTTGAATTGCATCCACTGGGATCATGGGGCCACATTACAACTTTAGCGGGCCCTAGGCACTTTGCCTTCATGGCCCCCTTCCCTCCCACAAAAGAATATTAAAATTATATTTTATGACTGCATTTGTGTAAAGACGAATATAATCCAAGCTAGATTCATTATTATTCAGTAAGTCCTTACTTAATGTCATCGATAGGTTCTTGGAAACTGTAACAAGTGAAACGATGCATATCAAAATCAATTTTACTGTAGACTAATTGATATAAACAAGACTTAAGTTCCTACGGCATATTTTTGGTCACAAAACATCACCAAACTTCTTAATAAAGACCCCAAACACTTCTAATGTTAAACATTGGAATAAATGTGAGCTATACATACATTTAAGAAAAATTCATAAGAACAAGTAAGATAATGATTTTCCAACTCGTTTATTCCAGTTTGATGTCACAGATAGCTGGAGTCTGTCCTGGCAGCTCAGAATGCAAGGTGGGAACCCATCCTGGACAAGACACCCTTCCATCATAGGGCCCTCTCACGCTCACCCACACTCACTGACACAGGGTCAATGTAGATACCTTCATGTGCATGGCCTTGGGATGTGGGAGGAAACCAGAGTGCCAGGAGAAAAGGAACGCAGACATGGAGTGAACGTGCGAACTCCACACAGACTGTGGTCCTGCCCCAGATTTTTTTTTTTTTTGACTCATCAACGTTATAATGAAATGACGTTGAATGAAATGATGTTATTCAAGGACGTGGTGTATATTCATTTTTATTATTTTCATTTTTTTCTTCTGATTTTAAAATATATTAACATTAAAACATTTCGTGGGTCCCTAAAAGAATTTTGGGCCTTTGGCACTGTGCCTCCTTTAGATAAGTCAGCTCTGTCTCTCAGGCATTGGTCCTACCTCCTTTTCAGCATCTCCTATCTCTGTCACATCCATCTTTCCCTCCTTACCCAGCTCTGAGTCCATGATTTATCATTATAATCAGTCCCTTGCATATACCAACTTTCTGGCC